CAAAGAATTTTTTGTTATATTGGGTTTAATACATCCATAACTAAGTAAACTTGAAGTTTAATAACTTAAAGTAATGGATTCAAAAAATCTTAATTAGGTTGTCTACCAAATTTAAAAATTTCTTATTTATCTTTAAACCCTCTTTGATTCCATTCTTATATTTTTTTCTTGTATTTGTTAATCTGACTTTATAGATCCACTATTGAGAGGTGACCAAATAATGAAATATGGTGATCCACCCTCAGCACAACAATCTAACTTAGATGTGAAGCTTGAGATAGGATCTATTAAAATGATAATATTACCCCTTAATGGTTTTATTGAATGATTCTAAAACAAACGATAATTTTTTCAGTCAAGATTTTATTTGGTTATCCTTAAGATATAATTAACAATTGAAACGTATTTTTTTTGGAGCGCTCAAGCTTCGAGAATAAAAAAAATTTTAATTTTTGAATTATATAAGGAGGATTGTTTTAAAACTTTTTAGTATATTTTCTTTAGCAAGCTTGGTCTGATTCTTTTGGACTTCTATTTTTGACTTTTCCCACAAAAATTATCCAAGATAAATTCTTAAACATTTTTAATCATTTTTTTGATACATTCTATTTTTTTCTCACTCTCATCCTCATTATTGTAGAAAATAGGTTGTTTGACAAATGTAGCTATAGAGTGTGATGATGAATAATGAAAAAAGTGGTATGATCATTTTATTAGGTGGTTCCTCAAAATTAATATGATAAATTCATTACAATGGTTATGACCAAATATATGAGTGTATCTTATCATGTATATGTTTAATTATGGTAATTAACATCTTTTGAATTTGTATTTTTTGTTATTTTACTTTCTTTTTTATTGATTAGTGGGTGAATGTGGAGCTACTCTAAAAGAATATGGAACACACATATGTGATCTTCTGATTTTTGTCTAGCTATTTTATTTTCTTATTAAAGTGGAAATATAAATAAACATATTATTAGATCATAAAGTTATGAAACTTAACCTCATTCCTTAATATAGATTTAAGCCTAATGAAAAACTTATTATGATGGTAGTAATCATTATTGGAGCGGTGGGCTCTTACATGTGTTCTTAAAAAATATTAGGGTGTTTAGTTAGTAAAATACTATCGTACATTAGGGTTTGGACTTAGAAATTTAAAAAATTTTCTCTTCCCCACATAAGAACTCATCTTCTAATTATCTCTTATACATTTAAAATTTTATTTCAGGGGATTTTAGTTCCTATTTTAAAGTCAGGTCTCTTATGTTAGTCAAAGGAGTCATCAATTTAGAAAAGTCGGTCAAAGAATTTCTTTGAATCATACTTGTGGTTGAAAGTTGGTGCTTCAATTTTGATTCTTCCAATAAATGATAAATTATTTCATAATTAGTGTATCATTAGTTCAGTACCTAATATTACTTAGATTATATTTTTTTACGTCCAATTTTATTCACAAGATCATTTTACGGAATGTGACTTAATTATTTCTATAAAAATTTTTAGTATCTTCTTAATTTTTAATAATGTTTTCATACATTTAATCAAATAATTTCATTTTTTTTTTCTTGACTTCCATGTGAAACTCTAGTTCTTATAACAACATATTGAGAGCTTCTACATAATACATGTTTATAAGAATGGGTAACTTGTTGATAAAGAAAGTATAATGGTATTTTGAAAATGAGGGACGAAGGAAGAAAATTATATTATGTTCATGATTTAACCTACTCTAAATGAAAATTAAGAGTATGGAGGGGGGACAATGTCCTATTATTTCCCAAGTTCACTTTAGAGAATCATTTTTTATTTACAGTGTCCTTTTAGTCTTGTTTCACAAGAAAAAAAAAATACAGTTTTGCATTCAAAATGACAATAAATGTAATGCAAAGTAAAGAAAGGAAAATATTTTGCACTCTCTTATTTTTTTTTTGTTAAATAGTGTCCTAGTTTCCAATTTTAGCAACTGATTTTTTTTACACACTTCCAAAATAAATTAAGGATACAACACAAGATAATAGCAATAGTGGTTTTTTTAAGAAAATATAATTTTTTAGCACATTTATCTTTATGAAAATATAAGTTATCAAGGTTGTCACTCAAGTGCAGATTTTAGTAAATGGAAAATAGAAAAATTATTATGCTTTAATTGTTGGAGACAAATATAATTTGATTTATATAATAACTATATATTTCCACCCTAAATATTTGAAGTAATCATGTCACTTTTGGGAAACCTTATAAGAGATTAGGAAAAAAAGAAAATGTTAGGTTTATACAATTGGTGGTATCATTAACATCAACCATAATCTCTAGACTATAGTAGTTATCCTTAAAGAAGAATGTTTTAAAAAAGAAAATGCATACTTTCTTGGTGTTCCCTTTCTTCAATGGTAAGGTTTAATCTTAGCTTGTCACAAAATTTAAGTGACCACGCTTTTGGTAATGTAGTAGATCTCTCTGATTAAGTTAAGAGCCATTTTTTATCATTAAAGTAATTTTTTGGTGGTGGAAAACAGGTATGTTCCAAGGCTAGATTTTGTATTTGGTTCTAAAAATATATGGTTTTATTTGATTCATTGTTATCTTTTACGTGAGAAAGCCTGAAGGTATGCTTATCTTTCTGCCTCTACAATTAAATTATGAGAAGATGTTTTTATGATGTTCTCAGAGTATTCAGAGTGAGTATGAAAAGTTTATGATTATATTAAAATTAAAAAAATAGTGACTATTTTTAAGATTTTGGGATAAAATTTTATGTTAAATTTTAATTTAGCGGAAAATAAAAAATTTCTTGATAAAATAATAGAAAGAACTTATTGATCAGTTTTTTGGGATGTTTAATTATATATGTGGATTGAAAGTTTAGAAACTTCTTTTTTAAACAAGCCACAAATAATATATAGTAAGAGTTATGGCTTTAAGGAAAGAAAATGGCTTAATTTTGTGAGAGTTGAAATAGTTTAAGATTTTAAAAAGGGTTGTGTATGCTGTCAAACAAGAAAGAAAAAAAAAAGTTTTAGTGTTAAAATTTACTAATTATTGTTGATAAATCAACCCAAAGGCTAATATTACTAATTCCTTGGATGCATAAACTTTAATAAGTGATTATATTTTTTTTATTAAATCAATGGGTGTATAAATAGTACATAAAGTGGCATGCAAATAGAGTGAAAAAAAAAAATCAATATCTCTCTATAAAGTTCTTACTTTTGAAAAAAATAATAGAATGGTTCTCTTTGGTTACAATGAATTAAAATCAATCGAAGTTGATATCTATTTTCTAATACTTTTTCAATCTCGAGTCCTATTATTTATTTTAGTGCTTTTCTTGGTGGGCGAAGTGATCATTCATTGAATGTTGGAGCAAATGTCAGACAAGAGTCATTATCCATAATTTCTTTTAATATTTGCCATATATTTATAATATTTTTATGTCTTTCACTCCATATATGTTGACATGTAGGATTCTTCTTAGCTGTATAACTATAAACATTTTCCAAGCATCATCATAAAATTCATGAGTGGATCGCTAAGAGAAAGTTCCCAATAACATTTTTGAAAAGTACTTAAGTGTTTTCTCGAGTGAAATTGTTATAGAAGTTAAAATATCTCACTAATGATTAACACTTAATTTGATCCCAATTGTTCTGGCATTATGAAGTCAAAATGACTATTAAAACTTGTCAAAATTTCTTAGATTATAGTTAGGTACTAGCAAGTGGCTTTGAGCCCTAGTGTGTTTGAAGCATTTGATCTTAAAGAAGATGCATAATGTGCTTGCAGTATAAAATACAACTATTTTGGGAGGTTGAATCGAAAGAGTAAGAGGAGAACATGCAAGCTTGATTATTTGGCATAGTTTCAATAGTTAGGAGTGATGATTATTGATGGTAGCAACTTGGCATATAAGGGGCTGAAAGGCTTTGATACCAAACTTTGATGCAAATAAAGAAGCAACAAAATTTTAATACAGCGGGAGAAACAATCAAGATTAATAAGAGAGGAGAAATAAGAGAAAATATGGATAATAAATGGCTAGTATTCCGTAGAACGCAAAGCTTCAATTAGTAATTTAAATTTCTAGTCATTCTCTCTTTAAATTGAGAGGTCATAACTGGTTCTATTTTAATTTAGTTATAATAATACATAAAAAATATAAAAATTATAATTTATGCATTGTTTTGTATGTTCATGTTTTAATCATAGACTTGGCTGCAATAGCTATAAATTAATATCAATAGTACAAGTTCTTAAAACTATGTTCTTGCCCCGAACTTCTTAAAAATCACAAAAAAACTAGACCACATGAAGATTGAACTGTATAGTTCGCCAGAATCCAATCGCAGAAGCTTTTACAAGGCACGGGTATGAACTTGCTCATCCACAGGAAGATGAAACGCACGCTGTATTTCAGGGGAGGCTATCCCCATTTGTTGAGGTCGGGCCCGCAACCAAAAGCTCCTCTTACCTTTGCGGCTCAAAATCCAACTTTGATATTTTGTTGAATAAGGACATCAAAAACCAAAATAATTCGTTGAAAGTGAAAAAGATTCCTCCTTTATAAACTCGTTCCCTTAATGGCAACTAGCGCTGCTGTATCGCCATCTCCCGCCTTTATTCTTCTCTCAAACCACAAACATATTTCTCCCCTCAAATCATGCAACGGGCCTTTCAGGGAGTAAATTCCAAACTCTCCCATCTTCTCACTCGACCGAGTCTTTTCATCCCCGGAAAGTCGGTGTCCTCTTCCTACTCTTCTACTTGTTTTATTTCTCATTCTATGATCCAGAGCTCGCTCGTCCATCATCACTCTACCCATTTTCGTTACTGTTTTAAGTGGAGGGGGCAAAATAGGAAGTTTTTCGAAAAGCATTATTCCATCCCTTTCCTCGCCGATTTTTAGTTGTTAGGCCTATACGAGTGGTTAACTCTGTGTCTCGGCCGATTTTACTTTTTTACTTCTTGTAGGTCCTGGTGTATAAAGGTGACTTTCAAGAGGCGGGATTGCGCGGTTCGCACTATTGTCTTTTTCACCGCTTTTGTTTTTTCTTTTTTCGCCGTATTTGCGTCTTTCCTGCGTTCTTTCCTCGCTCTCCGTTCTTCGGCGCGTGCTCACCTCGTCTACCGTCTTGTTGTGGTTACCTGGTTGCTAGAAGTTGAATCTTGGGTCTAGATTCACCAGAAAAATCTCTCCTTGCGAACGTGGAATAGTGGAGATGGCGAACGGTTCAGTTACAGATGGAATCTTTCTGTTTGCAGACGGGGAGTTGAGTCAGATAAGCGGGCTGAAGCGAGGTTTGGACTTTGTCGAGGTGATGTGCGGGTGCACAAGCCATCGCTATGGAGATGCGGTAGGTAGACTTAGGGTTTTCGCCTCTGGGGATCTCCAGATCGACTGCGAGTGCACTCCTGGATGCCAAGAAGGTGAGTAGGGTCAGTTGCTTTTATGATTTTTATCCATTTAGACTGCTTCGCGCTGTTTTTTGTCGTGTTACTATTTTTCGTTCGTTTTCTGGTGCCAAGAAATTTTTTTAGTTGATGACTACTCGTTGTTTGATCTCCTACCGTGTTCTTTTGAAGCAGGAGATTTTATGTTATGTTTAGTTTCTATTTATTCCATGCAAGATCTATGCTTTTCCAATGGTGTTTGGCTTTGAAGATGTTGCCATGCTTGTCCTTTTCACATGTTATCAAGGCCGCTGTTTTCATGCTGGCTATTAAAACTGCAAGTATCACATGCACTGTTTTGGTGCTCACTGTTCATAAAGAGCATCCCTTGCATGAAGGCACACCCTGCTTCATTCATGTTGTTGTTTTTAATGTGTTTTGTAGGTTGGCTGATAAGTATTCTTATATGGATTGATATTCTTTTATTTTATGACCCTTTCAGGCCTGGCTTTCTATTGTACTTTCTTTGTGTGATTATGAGATTCAGAGTTTGTAATTCCATGTGCTCTTTTAGGCAACGCGGCAGAGTAAATATCATTTTTATTGTAGTGTCTATATGGTTCAATATTGTTATTTAGATAACGCTGTTATCTGCATCTTAGTCTATTTGCTGTGCTATTGACTTCTTAGTCTATCTGAATATCACCTTCTGGAAGGTGATGCCTTTTAGTTTGCCGCCTGCTCTTATCAAACGTTATGCTGGTCAACAGTAAGGGCAGAATATGGCTAAAATTGAACTTAAAAGAGATGGAGAGACTGTTATTCCGTGTTCCAACTGCAATTCTTTCCCTTCATTTTATTTTTTTCTACTAGTTTACAATAAGAGCTCATTTATATGCTTCTCTTTCATCGATGGTGTTAACAAGGTTATATTTCTATTAAGGGAGGCTTTTGATTGCTGTTAGCTGTTTTACACCTGATGCTTTATACTTGATAGATAATCCTCATTTTATTTTTTTCTACTAGTTTACAATAAGAGCTCATTTATATGCTTCTCTTTCATCGATGGTGTTAACAAGGTTATATTTCTATTAAGGGAGGCTTTTGTTTGCTGTTAGCTGTTTTTCACCTGAAGCTTTATACTTGATAGATAAACCAGGAAGCAAGCTCTCTGAATTGTGTCTGTTATAAAGATTTATAAACAAAAAGACTATGTATTGATTTCAAAATCAATTCATTTAATTGTGATCAAAACTTCTATTATTGGAGCAACATTGGTCGGCATTTTTTAAATTTTTTTGGAACACTTTCCCACCAATTTTTTTGCCAAAAAATACTTATAACAATACTATTTGATGTTATGTTTTTATTAAAGAAAATGGAAACAAATACGGTAAATATAGAAATATTTTTTATAGTGTCAATTGTAAACTCTCCTACAGTGCTTTAAGATAGTACATATACAGACACATATTTATCTGAATCTATGTTCTGTTTATTCTAATTTAATACCTCAGCATGCAACTGTTTTAATGCATAAATACCTTATTCAACATCCATAATTGCTAGTTAAATTTCCAAAAGCAGAGATATACATAATAACTTGCATTTCTAAATGAATTTATAATTACTTATTATTTATTCCAATAAAAGCAAGTACGTTGAATTGTTGCATGGAATATGTGAGATCAAATAAAATTCTCAAATTTTTATACTCTCCATTGGTGCTCTTAACATTTTGAGATTGCTATATGCAAAATTTAATATTCTTTTTTTATGCTAATTAGTTAATCTATTATTAACAGTGAAGTTGTCCCCCGCTGCTTTTGAGAAGCATTCCGGGAGAGAGAGTGCAAGGAAATGGAAGAGCAATGTATGGGTCATCGTTGAGGGAGAGAAGGTTTCACTTACAAAGACACCCCTGCTTAAATACTACAATCAAACATTAAAAGCTACAAATGGTTCTCAAAAAGGCCCCAATGGTCGTCCATGTCACCGTGATGAGTTTATCCGCTGTAACAAATGCAAAAAGGAGCGCAGATTTCGCCTTCGTAATAAAGAAGAGTGTCGAGTTTACCATGACACTTTAGTGGATCAAAACTGGAGTTGTTCGGACCTCCCAACTGACAAGTAAGTTGCATTTCATGAAGTTAATGTTTCATTACTTATAATGATGATGCCTTATATTCATTTATTTATTTATTTTGTCTTATGATAGAGTTTGCATTTTATATTATACTTGATTTCATTTTCTGTTTTGAAGAAGTTTCAGTGAAGCTTTTTGTTGATTTAAATGCCTGTATTCCTTCTGTATTTTTTTCTCAGTTATAATTCTAGTGCGCTCTTTCATTTCTTCTAGTGCTATTGAGGTTGTAAATATTATATTCTTTTCTGTTGTTTTTCTCAAAAAAATTTTTACTTCACACTTTCCTTCATACTTATATATAATTTTATGCTTAGCAAATTTCTCTTATTTTATTCGTTGAAATCCTTATACCCGCCGATGGGTAGATAAAGTATTTGAATTTATATGGTGCTATGGTGTTTGAGCTTTCTTCTCCCTTAGTGTTTCCAGTGTTCATTCATGGTTTGGTTAATGCTTTTTAAATTTTAATCCTTAAAAATTCAGATGTTCAATTAAAATATAAGGCGATGTAATATGGATTTTATTTTCTCTCACTTATTGATTCTGTATCTATTTTATCAAATTGACATTCTGCAAGGCATGCTGGAGCTCCTTGTTTTTGAGATTTGTAGACTATTATAAACAGATATTTTTTGTACATATGTAATAATGTTTTAATCTTCTCTTTTAAGAAGTCTTTTTGTAAACTAAATACTTTAGTTATGTTTTATTTGACTGAAGGTTTATTCTCGCTTAACATTAAGTTTCCTCTTCCTACCTTTCTTGATCTTAGCTATATTATCATTTTTATATTCTTAATTTTTAAAGAATACTCTGATATATTTTTATGTTATGTATAAGTTCTTGGAGCTTTGGAAGTTTGTAATGGGAAATCGATGTTCAACAATTTTTCTTCTCATTTCACTCTATGAACTTATATTGCATAGCTCCGCATTTGGCCACAAAAAATACGACATAACTACACTGCCCCACAATTTTTCCTTTTTTTTAGGTACATTAGTGTACTTGACATCTTTGTTTGTTTAGGGGACTATTCCGCCGCATTATTTTATACAATGTTTGGCAATTGTGCAAATAAAATAATTCTTTCCATAATCTTATCTTATAACAAGAGCATACCTTTAGCAGTTTTTTTCTTATAATCTCCAACCTCTGTATGTTGTTTTGTATACTATAAAAACGTTTGGATGTTAAATCCTCTGTATGCTGTTTTGTATACTATAAAAACGTTTGGATGTTAAATGTCAATTTGATCCCCCCATGGGTTCATTTGGTTGCCTATAGATTGAAAAAATTATTTTAAAAAGGTACTATTTTGTTTTCTCTCATTTTGAGTCTTTAATTGCAATCCTCTTCTAATGAATTTTGATTGTGCTCATATAATTTTTTAAATAGATCCAACCAATTGAAGAAATCTTTCAAATGGTTGTTTTTAATAATATGTTTTCAAACTTTAAGGAACCATATGAGCCTGTAAAAGAAAGTATTTTTTGTTTAGAAATCTTCAGTATTTTTTTTTCTGTTGTTCGTCTTGTTCGTGGAAAGCTCACTTTTAGCTTGAGAAGGACCTTTATTTGTTTTGTCGGATTGAAGCTCATTTTGATTAATATATACATGTTTTTTTATTAATATCAATCTTGCTACCTTCTGCATGATTTCTACATGATTCCCTGACAATTTTAGCAGGTGAAAGGCTGTTTTTTCTGTGGAGAAATCTTTCTTTTATTTACAAATTTTTAAGAAACTTGCCAAAATGACTTGGATTTTTTTTCTTAAGTCAGCACTCTTTTCATGGAAGCTTAACTGCTTTTTTTACTCAACACTCTAGTTTATCAATTCCCTCCCATATAGAATCTTTCTTTATGGAAATAGTCTCTGTATTTATTTATATGGTTTAAATGAGGTTAACGTCAATGCCTTTAATGCTTATCACTCATGTTAAGCCTATTTGCCAAACTGTTTATGATATCGGTCTCTCTACAATCTCCACAATCCACTCTTACTTTCTGTATATGAGTTCAATGACTATACTATATTTTATCTATATTAGTGAATCCAATCCCATGTACAGCTTTGTCTTGGTGGATTTTACCATTGTCTATTAAAATCCAGTTACATTTCTTCAGTTGCTTCAAAAATGGTTCAAGATGGGTATTTGATTTGCTATTGAGTCTTTTGACTATGGAATTATTAGTTCTATTTGTTTGTCTTACTTATGAATCATTATATATAGAATTTAAAGTGTCATATTTTATTTATAGCAGATTTAGTTTGTTTTTAAACTTGCTGTCTTTTATCTTACAGTCTTTCTTAAATATATGACCTTAACAATAACATTTTTTGCACAGCTTGAATTACCTGCTCATTCTTCTCTAGAACTTCTTGCGTTATTAAATCTCAATTAATCATATTCTTAATTCTTATGTTTCTTTTCAAGCATACATACTTTTATTATGCTTAATCCCTTGAATTATTAGATCTCGACTTTCTATCTGAGGTTTCCTCTTTTGCTTGAAATCTTGAACTCTGTGAAACCTCGATTTCAATAAAAAAAATTAATTTTAAAATGATGATTACAGAAATATTATGATAGTATTTTTATGATGGTAGGTTGATAAATCCTATCCCTTTTTGAAGGAGTTTTATATTTCACAAAGGACATTTTTCAGTATTTTACTCTATCAAGCATCTTCCAATTTATATTTTTGTTTTTCTAATGCTCACTTGAGCCTGAAATTATGCAAACTCATAATAATATCAATCGAACTACTATTATTGTGATGTCATTGATGTAGAGCTTCACTATTCTAAACTTGATAAGTAGATGCTGCACTAATTCTAAACTCAACATGATGCTTGTTAAAAGCATTCAATGGAATAGAGCTCATAAAGCTTTTTTTTCATGCTATCCATGCTTTCAGTTGCGACGTGTATTTTCATATGTTAGTCTAAAATGCATGTTAGTGAAAGTAGCGTAGATCAATATGACCAATATTTGTCAAATTTAACTTTTGACGTATTAACCACCTTAGAAATAGAGGCAATGTCCGACATATTATCAAAATTAACTTAGGAGGAAACATATTTATCTATAGGGTAACTTCTGCCTATAATTATTTCTGAAGCGCATGCGTCAACTCTAGCTTGCAAGGCCCACGGCCTAACAAACTATTTGACCAATATCATCTACCGATAAATGAATGAGCTCTTATCCTAAGAGCCTGTTGACATGAATTAAAATAAGACGATGAAAAAATTTTGTATTTTTGGACTTAAGCATGAAAGCCTATAGAATAAGGGCAAATGTAGCAATTTTTAAAACCTCTTAAAGCAACTAAATGCCGCCGGTGATAAATTTCTCTCAAGCTTGAATTTTTCGATGAAAACAAAAGGTTGATAGGTTATAGTAGCAACTATTGAGTCAACACTTTAAGTGTGAAGAGGCAAAAAAATTCAAGGGCAAATGCAGCAATTTTAAGAACCTCTTAAAGCAACGCAATACTGCGGACAAAGAATTTCTTTCAAGCTAGAATTTATCAAAGAAAAAAAAGGTTGATAGGTTATTGTAGTGACTATTGAGTCACTACTGTACAACATAAAATGCGAGTTGATTAATTAATTTCTTAAAAACATTGACATAAAGAGAATCATGTGTATTGTAATGAATATCTACTACTATAGGATTTTTTCATATTAATAGCGAAAAGAAAAGAGGAGAGCCAAGAGGGGTGTAATTTACCTTACAATATGACCTTAGTTCCAAAAAGAGGAAGGATGAAGAGACGAATTTAGCAAGAAAGAGAAGAGGTGATTAAGTTGCAGAGAGCTGGAAAAGCAATAGAATAAAGCGACCACAAAATCATGAGAACGGAAAATGGATGGGAGATCTGGGGCTGGGAATTCTGGTTTTTGGATATCAATAAATATTTAATCATAGCTGTTAAAAATTGAATGGCTAAAAAAACACACCCAAGGATTCATTCTTGGTTACCTGGGACTAAAATTTTTGCCAATATTGTCACCCCACAAATCATTTGTCCAAGCTAAATTTTCAGTCAAAATATGACAACTAAATCATTTGTAAATTAATATTAGATTTTTTTCTTACATAAAAATAGTTTTGAATTGATTTTGAGAATTATTAAAGCGATCACTTGTATTGAGTAGAGCTGGATCCAAGCAAAAAATCAAATCCTTCTTTAAGAAATTTGTGTACTTCCAGCTAAACTCTTAGCAGAGATGGTGTTTTCTTGCTGTGCTATATGAAATAAAATGACTATACTTGTATAGAAATAAGAGCTACTTTTTAAATTACTTCATGTGCTTATTAAGTCATAAGAATTAGCACTTGGGAAATAAGAATTTTCTATGCATAAATCATTATCTGAACATAAAATATTTTTTCATGAAGTCAACAAAAGAAGTTGCCATACAAAGCCTTAATTTTGAATCTCTTTATTTTTTAGTTCTCATTCCCTCTTGGACACTTTCCAGTTATTTGGTTATGTTTTTATTTGCTTATTGTTTATTGTAGTCAAATCATTTATTCAAAATGTTTTTGATTTCATCACCTGTCCAGTTTCTTTTATTAAGGAATTTAATTATTGGGATATTTAATGGAGAACCAACAAAATTTTCGTATTTACCAAGTTACCACGTATGAAAAATGAATTGACAAACCTTTATATTTGTGGTGGTTCAAAAAAATCATGAAGCATTTAACAAATCTTTGAGAATGAAAGTTGATTGTTTATTGTGCTTTTTAAGATTTGGGTAGTATTATTATAAATAAACGTACATGAATGGTGGTTTTTAAAATTAGTTAGATTTTGTTGATGCGCAGGTAATTGCTCCATAATTTTTATTCTCTTGTATTTTCTATTCTTCTATCTTGTTTGCTTGTCATTCTTGGTAAATTTTTAGATATAAGCATATTTATTTTCAAGCTTGTTCGCTTTAAGATTCTTTCTGAAAATTTAGCCCTTATGATTGCCAGTTAACTTAATTAGTAAAGATCTTCGAAGTTGTTGCAAAAGTCTATAGATGACATTTTTCCTACATCAAATTTGCAACTATGCAGTCTAATTTTAGAGAAACTTGATAAAGAAACTATCGTCTACAGGTTTTTCAAGCATTTCAGTCCCAGCGTTTAAAAAGTGTAAAGTTAGTCCTTTGAATTTTTTAATTAGGGCTAAAATAATCCTCATTACGACTATTTCAATTCAAATTAATTCTGAGGACTAAATTGACACTTTATAAGCTCTCAGACAAAAATAACCCCCAACAAAAATCAGAGGACCCTTTTGAAACTTTTCTCGCAAAAAAAGAAGAAGGAAAAAAAAACAGTCTAGTTTGTTCAGGTTCCTTTTTTCAGTAATTGTTTCAAGTATCAATTACAAAAATTTGGTTATTGAGGTGGCATGTTCACTCTTTTGGCATCCATACATTAAGCTCTTTCTAATGTAGAGTTTTGGAAGGATTGATGTAAACAACCTTATATCTGCATTACATAGGGGATGTTTTCTGACTCGAGCTCATCTCTGAGCTAGTAAATGTTTTACGATTTTGTTTCAGTTTTTATTGTTAAGCTGGTCTCCTTTCTTTTAGTTATTTAACTTTGAAGCATCAGTTAAACAATCGTTTCATATTGTTTTCCTTGGAAAACTAAATGGTTAGCTATTCTTATTAACTTAGATGCATTCATCTTGAATGGTAAAAATAAGAAAGAATTGTTATTCTGTATTCCCATATGAAATTTAAATCTAATTTCCTAGAAATTCCTATGTTTTGCAATGGAAACTTTTCTGGCATCGGTTTCAATTACACGAGGATCACTGCAACCAATGTTTCTTTCATTATTTATTCATAAATGAAAAATATATTGTTTTGTATCTTCCATCACTTTTGTTTTATATCTTCCATCAGTTCTAATTTCAACAGTTACAAGTTTCTTTTACCCCTACTGTCAGCTGTAATTAATAGTTTTATACCCTTCAAATCATTATTTTTTTGTGAACTATCATTGAAATTTTTGGAATTCCTGGCTCTGAATGACTATTTTGGAGTTTTTGAATTGCACTTTTGCAGCTAGATATCTTCTAAAGCAGAAAAATGATGAGTTTAATTTCTTGCATGTCTTCTGAGAAATTTGAACATATATCAGGATATGCTGTGATGATGAGGAGGAACGGGCAAGCCGAAAGGTCCTAAGAGGTTGCTCTCGATCACCTTCATGCAAAGGTTGCACCAATTGTGTCTGCTTCGGCTGTGAGATCTGCCGCTTCAGCGAATGCAGCTGCCAGATCTGCATCGACTTTATCAGAAATGCTCACACTTGAGAGAGGAAGCCCTTCATAAATTAGCATTGATTCTTTTCAGCATGGGTTACACACCCGATGATTGAGCCATAATTTCTCCATTTACAGAAACTCATTGTTTCCGCTGCAAGCTAGAACTTTTTAATTGTTCAGAATTGAGTAATATTTTTTCCACATTTTATGGCCATCTTAAAGCTGCCTGAGAACTTTGTCAAAGTTTCGAATGGAAGTCTGAAAATTTTGGAACTAGGAAGCTTTGAATGGCTTTTATTTTTTTTATCTTGCTTTCGTTTTACTTATTTTTGAAATGGTGAAACCTTTTGGGGGTGTTTGGCTGTAGGAAGGATTTAGAGTTGGCAGGATTTATTAAATCTGGCTTTGGTAAATCCACCCATTTGCTGAATTTTTTAATCCAAATTTAGCATGTATTGTAAGGAAAAATTCAGACAACCCGAAATTTCATAAATCCATACAACTTGCATTTTTTTTATATGTTTGGTTGGATGCAGTAAATCCGAAGGATAAATTGCGGCTACCAAACACCTTTTTATATCGTCAATTGTTAGGCTTGCATATAGCAGATTGCTTGAAATATTGAGAATTTTATATATTTCTTCTGAAAGAGGATGAGAGTGATCTTCAACGCCAAATCCATAGATTCTTTGTTGTTTTCAATGCAAATTTGCCCAATTTCTTTCTCCTTGCCTCTCCTTTTCATTCTCTGCCTAATCGTGCTTTCCGCTTTCTAAAGTCAATATTCTGATGCTTGCTGCATGCTCTGAGACCATCATCCATTGATAAGTTTAACAGAATCACTAGATCAAAAAAATAAACAAACTTTTGAAGCAATGAATCCCTAAATATTCTTCTTTTCCATATTCTCACTTGATAGAAAGTGGAGAGATAACATGTATTAACATCAAACTAATTTAGCTCGTAAATTACCTGGGGCGTACGTGATATGTCGATAATGTAGGACTGATCGGATCGCTTCCTGTGGGTGCGCTCATGTACATCGACGGTGGAGGGCTCTCATCCAATCTTCATAGTTTATCCATAAAAAAAATAGTTAGAATAAATCTTCAAACTATAGAATACCTTATAGAATTAATGAAATCTTGTCATCCTCTACTTGTATTCTTATGTGAGAGCGCCCCATCAGTGTGCTTGGAGGGCCCAAGCCTCCATAGTCAGATAGTCTGTTCTGCTTTGTTTGCTCAATCTTCTTCTGACAGTTTGTAGAATCCTAAATCCTATGCAGCGTGCCAAAAACATCCTCTTCAAACCACAGAGGATGTTGTCGCGATTTTCGAATATCTCCAAACATTTCCTAAAGGCGATCCCTGCCCTTGCGATCAAAGTTGCGATGGATGTGTGCTTCATGCTCATGGTGCCAGAGAATTGTTTCTGCAAATATTACAGGGATTATGTTCGATTGAAAGATAAATTAAAATAACTCAAGTCATTAGTGAATGATACTTACCACAAACTCCTAAAACCGAAGATCTCGAATGATCATCAGGATCTCCTTCCATAACAAGAATGCTGAGTCATACTTGCTCTGAATAATATCCCAAGTGGCATGAATAGTCTGGGTTAGGGTTAGAATCTTAAAACAATAATTTGTTAGTTTTATATCCGATTACAAAATAAAAAGATTACTGAAAATATCTTAAACAAAAACTTACTTGTGCTGACAGACTCGATGTAGTAGCTGCCACTAGGTATAGGCAGCGTGGGTTTCTGATGCAGTCAACTCTGCTACAGTTGCGGTATAGGCAAGGGTTGAGATGGGGGTGAGGGTAGGGGTGGGAGCAGGGCTCGCTATGGAGGTGGGGGCAGAGGCGAAGGCGTGAGAGGGGTGAGTGTTGGGGCGAGAGTGGTGGTGAGGGCGGGGGATGAGTGGGGAAGGAGACTGTCCCTACCTCAAGTCGACATCAGCAACAAGGAAAATAGGGGCAGAGGTGGGGGTTGGGGGTAGGGGTTGAGGTAAGGGCAAGGTTGGGTGTGGGAGCGGGGGTGAAAGTAGGTGTCGAAGTCGGGCGACCTCTCTTGATGTTCCTCATCAGATAATGTTGTGCTCCACGCCACCTCACCACCACCCCAATGAGTGGGGAAGGAGACTGTCCCTACCTCAAGTCGACATCAGCAACAAGGAAAATAGGGGCAGAGGTGGGGGTTGGGGGTAGGGGTTGAGGTAAGGGCAAGGTTGGGTGTGGGAGCGGGGGTGAAAGTAGGTGTCGAAGTCGGGCGACCTCTCTTGATGTTCCTCATCAGATAATGTTGTGCTCCACGCCACCTCACCACCACCCCAATGAGTGGGGAAGGAGACTGTCCCTACCTTAAGTCGACATCAGCAACAAGGAAAATAAATTTTATTATTTAGTGCACATAACACATACTATGTAATAAAATAGAAACATGATAGCATGTAATAAACATAAAACACAAAAGCATGTAGTAGACAAACTATGTTTTAAGAGTATTCTCTACAAGTGTAAAAACCAATTATCCTCCTAAGTATCTCATCTCAACAACTCTTACTACACAAAGTTCACATGATTTCTTAAGAGTCTAGTTAAACTTTGCCAGGGCAAGGATGCTTAGGTTTATGATTGGCTCTTCACTCGGAGACAAAATATGACAGAAATATATCTGTATGAGGCAAGTTTAACTAAAATGGCATACAATATCAAAGGGAGTAGTCCTAATTGATTGAGAATCAGCATTCTACCAATTATGATCTTTAATGGAACTAACATTACTAATATGTGAAATGATTTTACTTATAGTATATATAATTTTACAGATCTAATATTGTTTGTCATCACAACTACACCAAAGCTTGCACATGTTTATTTCTTTCAAATTTTATTTTCCAAATGGAAAGCCAATCATAGCACTAAGTATACTCATTGTCGCAAACCCCATACACGATTGAATGTATACCTGGAAATATGTTCTCAGAAGGAGATATTTCATATGATGTAAGAGCTTTCATTGCATCCTCAAGTGTGAAGTCTGATTTTCACAGCCAAATTGAAAATTTATGTTGAAATTTAAGTTATCAGTTTCAAATGGAAATTCACTTTGAAATTTAATTTGCATTGCCAAAATGGGAATTGCATCAATGGAATTTAGATTCTGATTTAAATTTCCATCTTGGAGCTGATAAATTAGAGCAAGCACTAGATGTTAGCCTTCAGGTGATGGGTAAGTGGGAACTCTAGAGAGAGAGTTAGGATCTTCCCACTTTAACCATGGGTTTAGGAATTAAACTTTCGATTAGCCAATATTCTTTAAGCACTCGAGAGAGGGTTAAAAATAGCTATGCTCCTATTTGACATAATAAATTAATTATATTTACAATTATTTTATTTGTACAGTAAGTTTAAACTCATTGCAAGGGGAAGGATGTTTTATACAGATTTGAACTCTTCCGTACATTGTTAGTTTAGAATTGCTTATTGGTAATTTTACATTTTAGCCTTTCTACATTATCTTGCGTTTACATTCAGTATTTCCTTAGCATACTAAGCATTCCTTTTAATTCTATATAATTAGGTAGTGCACAAAATATTTTTATCATTTCGTATATAAGTTAACTATAGTTTAAAAAAGATTTTACCAAAGTAATCTTATAAGAGTTTTGCCTATCCCTGTGGGATCAATAGTTAGGAATTAATTAGAGTCATATATTACTTGAACGATACGTATACATGCGTAGTACCCCTGGTATAAAAACCATTTTATCAATTTAATATAATATTTAATTTTTGCACATTAGAAGCTAAATATAAATTGGGTCAAGCTTTTGACTATATTTTTTAACTAAAATTATTGCGTAGCTGCAGGTTGGATCAAGTTTTTGACGTCGTTGTCGGGGATAGCAACAAAAATCTTTATTTTAACTATAACAATAATATTGAAAAACTATAGTGTCATTTATATACATGCTTGTGAATTTAAAAATAAAAATAATAAATACACACACACACACACACACACACACACACACACCCCCTTGATCCCCAAAAAATATAGTTATGTAAAATTTATAAAGTTGACTCCACTTTACAACGGTGCTAAAATCATGATGTGGCATTTTATGAATAAGAACATTAACCACTTAATGTTGGGATTCTACGCAAGTATACGTATCGTTATCAAGTAATATAAGAGTTTCTATTTAAGCTTCAAATATCGATCCCACGAGGAAGGTTTAAATTTGAAATGATAAATTAACTTGGAAATTCACAAAAATAAAATGAAATTACTGTCAAAAATTTTGAACGTTTGAAATACTATCAGAAATAAATTATTAACTACTAGCAAAATTTAAATGCAAAGTTTAAAACAGTAACTACTAAACTATGTTTATGTGATGACGTTTTCTAATATAAAAAAACATCTTTCCCACTACAATGAGTTTTTGGTGAAATGAGATGAGATAAATGGTTTTAATATGTATTGTGCCAAATAGGAGTAATTTTAATTCTCTACCCTTATTCAGTGTTACAGAAAATCATTAGCTAATCTCAGGTTTAGTCCCTATATCCGTGGCTAGGCTAGGAGGATAATGACTCCCACTCCTGAGCTCCCACTTCCCTTCCCCTGAAGGTTAACTCTTGCTTTAGTTCTTATACACTAAGACCAAATTGGGGATTTTAGTCTGTCATCCTAAAATCTCCAATTCTACACCCAACAATGTATAGTTCCTTATTTATTTGCACTTAATTCCATGAATGAAATACTCCTTCATAGAATTAAATGTGATTCTCACTCAGTTGTAGAACTCATACTTCATTTCCCGAATCATATGTTTCACGACATATTTTAACAATTCAATTGGTCAGATTGAAAAGTAAATTAAGAACAGAGTTGAAAAACCATCACAATTTATTTAATATTTTAACATTGGCACATCCAAATTATCTGTTCATTTCACCATATCTCAGAGTAGGGAAAAAGATAAAGTAAACTACTCAGACTTCATGAGAAAGGTACAACAAAACACAAATTTCATATATAAAATAAAGTTCATACAACAATAATAAACAAACAACACTTACTTGAAACTCTTTCTCAAAGTAAACCCTTGTAGCCTCTCTAAGGAAATGTAGAAATAAGAAATCTCTCACTTCTCTCCCTCTCCAACACTCTTAAAGAAGAATTTACACTTAAACTCACCACAAAAACTCAAAACTATAAATAAAATAAAAAGAGAGTGGAAAGCGGTTAGAGGGCGCAAAGGGGGTCTTTTCTGATCAATTTGGCTCTAAATAGAGCCTAATGTTGGTTTTCCAATAGGTGCATCCAAAAACTCTTCAAAAAGCATCCAATTTTATTGAATCTTCTATAA